TGTCAGGGGCACGAGCTAGCAGCTGGAGCAAGCAGGAGGGCTCCACTGGCTCCATTCCTTGGCTTCTTTCCTCCTCTTCATTTCTTCGTTTTTTCCATTCAAACTTGGCAGGGCCAGGTGTAGGGTCGGACACTGTCCCTGAGGGTTTTAGAGGATTGTCTTCAGGATGAATTGAATGCCAGCCATCATTTTGCTACCTCCCCATCTAGTTGCTTCATGGGCTCTGGGAAATCCTCAGAGCGAAATTAGTTTTCACTCATTTTAAATGGAAAGAATTGTATGGCATTTCTCCCATGAGAGCAGCAAGGGCAGAAGAGGAGAACAATGAACAACTCAAATCTAGACACCATTCGACTTTTTGGGTGCAGCCTAAGTCTATGTCTACACACAAGTCAGTCAGTCAGGAAAGCCTCACTCCAAGCTGATTGGAGTCGGGCCCATCTTATTACTCACCGGGGCCAAGGCAGGACCCTCCCGGTGGGTCTCCCAACTTCCTGGGAGCCTCCTTCTCCACTCACCCATCTTGAACACTTCTAGTAGAACATGATTATCCAGTCTTTGTAGAGGACATTTTGTCTGGGAACGGTTTCTTGTTATTTTTCCCAGAATATGCCTGTGGGCTTGAACGCGAGTCCAGGGCACCCTTATCTGAAAACAGTAAGGGTTAGAGAGTTTAGGATGAAAACCTTGGCTCTCCGGAGACGAAACAACAAGAAATGGGACATGTTGAGTCGGGACAGTGTGGGAACAAAGAAATTGTGGTGGGACAAACAGGCTGTGTTATAAATAAAGAAACTACAGCAGGAAAGTTCGCTGCAGTCCTGTACTGTCTTTCTGTGTGTCTGTGTCTCTTTGTCTCTGTGTTCATTCCTCGGCCCCTAGAAATGGGCCATGTCAAGCCTTACTGAGCATAAGGTCAACCCAGGGGCTTATACTACCTACACCTCCAATGTCTCGCTCCCAGATACTCAGTTTCAATTCGTCTGGGGTAATGCCTGGACATCAGTGTTTTAAAAAGCTTCCCAAATGATTCCAAAGCACAGCCAGGGTAGAGAATTGTGGGAATGGTGGTTAGGATGGAGTTCAAGTGCTTGGTTAGAATCCTTGGCCTGTTGCTCACTACCTGTGGGATTTTGACAAAGTACTTAACCTACCTGTGATTCATCTGGTAAAATGAGAACATTAGTATTAATAGTACCTATCTCGTTGCATTGTTGTGATTATATATATTAATATACATATGCATATACACATATGTATTTTCATATACGTGCATGTATGTCTGTGTGGGTATATATACACAGTCATCCCTCGGTATCAATGAGTATTGCTTCTAGGAACCATCCAAGGATACCGAAATCCATGGATGCTCAAGTCCTCTGTATAAAATGATGAAGCATTTACACATAA